ATGCACTTCCCACTATGTATAAACAATCCAAAGAGTACAGGAAGTGAATGAAAATACCATGGAAGAACTGTTTTGTCCGACAGTACAAGCAAATGAATTTCAGGAGCAACTGTTATGAAGAGTCAAGGTTTGTGCCATTATTTAGAGCTCTTAACTCGGGAAATAGAGAAATATGAGTTTACTATGAAAACATTGATGTTTATTATTTACGTTTTTAGAGCTCGAGTGTGAATGCTCATTCCGAAATAATTCCACTTATTATTATGGGATTCGTAAAATTTTTAAATTTTTTATGTGCTTTTTCCCTAGCCTTGACAACATAATCTTGTGGTGGAACTTAATTTTTTGCATTTCAATCTTGTTATTGAATATTGAATGACATAATTTCACTTTTCTTTAAACACATCAGTCGTTATCGTTAAGTGATTAGAGGCGTGTTTTCTTCCGTGGAATTCTCTCCGAAGGTAACTAAGTTATTGGCAGTTATTCAGTTATTTGCTGGTGACAACCCATTTAGTACAGATGATTAAATCCCGTCAGGAGATATTAGATTACATAGTCTTATTTTGTTTTGATATATTTTAAAAAGAGTATCTACATGGTCGTCTACTCTTATCAGAAATGCTCTGAATTTCACTAGAAAATGTAGTGAATAAACTTTGGTTGAGTAAAAACTTGTTACAGTGATGGCTCTAACAGGTGAAGCCAAAATTTAATTTTTCTCCGGCAGACAAAAGGCACCAGCAAACATGTTTCCCATTTTTTCCGTACATGATAAAATTTGTTTCTAATAGTGACAGAGACGCACATGAGATGTAGTTACGAGTCTTTACTGAGATGGCACTATATAGTCGAAATATTTATGTTCTTATTATTTCTGACTCCGAACGTTAGTCTCTTAATCTGCATGCTTGTAAGTCCTGTTGAAAGATAGGAAGACAACCATGACATTACTTTGGATTTCTATGGTAACTGGGTCTGTGCCTACACATCTATAGTTAAAATGAATAATTTCCTACTGGGTCATCTCGTTATTCTTATAGTTTTAATTTCATCAGAAGCATAAATAACACGAAATTCTTAGTGTACGTCCGTGTGTAGAATTGCACAGTATTTGCATATATCTATAATCGTTTTCTAATTTACTCTAACTGAAAATGATACATCTTCATTTTAGAAATATTTAAAAATCTTGAATAACTCTGTCGAATGGATTTCCGAGAAGTGATTGCTGCTGATATAAATACTTTGCAATCAAGGTTGACCGACCTCTTCAACATTTCTAGAAATGGAGTGCCTTTAGCATTTCTGCAAGAGTTGTACGATGTTGTAAGTTTCCTTAACTTTCAACATTTCTTTCATATACTATTTTTGAATCAGAATAAATTTTACAAGCAGATGTTCTTAATATGTTTCAAAATCTTATCTGTATTATTTCCGGTCAACGTAATTGTTTTGAGCTGTAAAATGCGTTTAAACCCTAGCAAAATAGCTCAATTTCGCATAGTAGTTCTGAATTTCAATTAAATTTAATTACACTGGCGGAGAAGTAGATTCTTAAAACCCTTCTATTGCGCGAAAATCGAAGGGATAATAGTTAACCTCACTTTTTAAGTATCCTTGCTGGTGTCTTACGGCAAAATCAAGTTCGAGGAAGGGATTTGAAAGCAGTTTATACTCTTTTTTGGATGATCAGCTGCTTTATCCCCACTGTTCATGAAGTGTTAGGATAAATCGATTAAAGAGGTAACATTTCCCAACTTGCTCCACTTAAGTTTTCCGCCTGTTATAAAGTATTTTTTCCCTGAATGACTACTAATGCTGTCACATTTGCCTGACATATCAAATAGACATAGAAGTAGCAACTGTCCCCATGTTTCCAACTGCTTATTGCATATCTGCTTAACTCTTTTACTATTTCATTCTTCATCACGTTTTTTACTGCTAGTACTTTTCCCCATGCAGTTGCCTATATTTTTTGAAACTCTGATATCCTTACCAACAATCCCATTAAACTAAGCACTGTTTATACTATCTTAAAGCCAAATCACCAACTGCACACCGGTGATTTGAACATTCGGCCGTTGTGCTTAACTGGATAAAGAGTTCTATAAACCTAAAATCCAGCATTTCGTGCTATAGATGCTTCTTAAATTCTTGAGGTGTACTTGCGGCTTGCAGATTTCAACTCTTCATTTCCGGCTACTGGAACCCTCCACAACCCTTACGGAGGCTTTTGCAGCGAAGTGGTGTAATTAACCTTCCAAATACACGTTACTCAAAGCAGGTTGCGTGTAAATACAATGAGTTTTCCTTAGATCTTAGGTGCAAATACGAGGCCTAGTTATGTTTATTTACTTAACCCAGCTTAGCCAAGCTTCTACACTTAATGGATACTAGAGTAAATATAACACTAAGCCGTACATACAAGAAACTTACTTCTCATTCCGATCGTACTTGTGTAAATATGCTTTTGTTGGCTGGTAAAACGACTATTTAATCGAGGAAGTTATTGTTAAAGTCCCTGTGTATTCTTACTCTGTAGGCGTTCTGTATTTTTACCATGAATGTACTCTATTGTTTTAGCTTAATTCATTCCAACATGAATACCGGTCAGCATTAAAACAATTCAAATTGAGAACCATAAACTTATTGGTCGTCAGAAATGTGTACAAAAGTTCATGCGATACGAAAATTGGTTTATGGATTGAAGAACTAAATGATTTTATCTATAAATTTGAAGTAAGAGTATATCAGTTTCTACTATTTTGTACGTTATTAACATTTTACTATTCACATTTGCTATCTCTTTCATGTCACCCACAGGTATAAAGCTCGCGTTTTCAATCCGAGTTCCACCTGAGCAATGTCATGGAGCGAGATGTCACTCATTGGCCTCCTCAGCATGTGTCTGATGCATCTCCATTCCCTTTGGCATATTTGTTGAACAATAGGTTCTTGATAGCATTATTTGAAGACGGAGATTATCTGAAAAATGTGATGTATTTGCGCTATACATTTCGAACAATCTGATCACACATTTACTTGTCAAGTCAATATATATCAAAATTTATACAAGGGACTAACTGTTTTAAATAGGTTCTTGGTTGGTTCATTCCCAGAGTTCGTTGTCGCTGATCCTCGCCAGACACCTGAATATGAGTATAAAGAGAAGGCAGCTGTTGATAAAGGTTTGCAGCAGGCTGTTGGAAATGTTTTCCGTGACGCGCACATTTAGTCTCTGGACCATATAAAAGTATTGACTTAACACTGACGTTGAAAATCTGAATCTTGCTGTCTATGCTGAGTGCAGCAAATTTATAAATTGGTTTTATAGTAGTGGCTTTGGAATCTTCATCCATGCTGTCACCTGTAGTTCAGTCAATGTTACCTAGATAAGTTGAGTAGGTCACTTCCTTCTAATTTTTCCGTTGATGGTGAGTAGTACTTGTCGTCGCTGGTCAGGTGTCTTCATCATCTCGGTCTTCTCTATGTTTACTTTAATTCCTGTTTTTGATGACTGTATCTCCTGAAAATTTGTCGGTTTTTGCCTACAGATCTTCGAGTTTATGTGACACTAGACATATATCATCCGTGAAGTCTGGAACTCTTTTTCAGAAGATTAGTGTTCACTGACTGTTCTTTGGATGTTGGTGGTACTTCTGGGAAAGTTGTAGGTGGCGATCCATTCAAGAGTCCTTTGAAGTAGTCCTCCTGGCATTTTCTTCTCTCTTCCTTTTTGGTTTTTAGGTTCCCTTCACAAGTTTTCATTGATTTCAGTGTGCTGATTTCTTCCCCGATAACTACCTATTTATCTGGTATAGTAATGTGAGGTCCCTCTTACCTGTAGTCTGTTCCGCTCCAGTTGCCAGTGTGCGTAGAGTTAGTTGTCTTTTATTTTTCCTAGCACTCTTCTTTACTTCTTTATATAGTGAGATGTACGCTGAACCGAACTTCTTCTTCTATTGTCCATCTTTGCATTGGTTCATCTTCTGTTCCACCATCCTTTATCTTCTATTAGCTTCCAAGTGTCCGTTTAGAGCCTTTCCTTGTCTTTCCTCTTCTTCCTTACTAAGACAGCTGTACAGGCTTCCTCCACTATCGCTTTCAAAGAGTTCTAGTATTCTTCTATAGTGGTATTCTGAGTGATGCTACCAAATATTATAATGTTTTCCGGTAATTACTACGGTCTATTAAGTGGCAGTTATTAAGTTTGTCAAATTTAAAGGGGAAAAGGTTACTCGATGTTCGAAAAATATAGCAGCTGTTCTGTATCACAAATCACGAGAAGTGGTTAACCATTGGGAATTGGATTCCAACATACTGACTTGAAGGTTATTTTTGTTGTCTTGGCGTAACCTAACGGTTCTGACTTCTGTTTGCATTGATGTCGAGAATGCACACTGGTAAAGAGTTCTTAGCTAAGATGAAATGATGGCGAAGTGGTGTTTGGTTTTCCATAGTTCTTGGATGACTTTGATATGTCATGGAATCTAGAGTCATCTTAGTCAATCTCTCATAAACCCAATGTCTGGGGATTACAGCGCTAGACAGAGAGGATAGGTAAGAGAACAAATAAACACGATTGCGACCTCATTTATTTCTGGCTGGTAGCCCACAAATCTTAACACTATTGGAACTGGTTGCTAGGCTCCTTACCAATTTGTCAGTTGATTCCCTACACTGATGAAGCTTTTATAATGCACTAGAGGGGTGTTCAAGCTATTTAATACATACGCTGTTCATCTTTACCTATGCAGTTTAATTTTTGGGGAATATATTCTATCGTCTGTAAAAAGCGGCTCACATATAGATGAAAACAGCCTTCAAACGTATTAACTGTCTATTCATGTGTTAGTTGCTTCTTTACACATATTATCCACTTGTCTAGTTATGATCCATTTCATGTGTGGACAGTATTTAAACTTATTCATTCATTTGTTTTACTTTATTTTGACATCTACAGGACTTAAAAAGGTCTCTAACTATTCTACAAAGTATTATTGAACCGTCATGCGAGCTTGTATATCGTCTGAACAGTGATAATCGTTTTTCATTTGGATACGCTCAAGACGAACAACTGATGTATCTATTAGACAAATTGAAAAGCCTGACAGGATGGTTAAATCTGGTAGCTGCAGAGAAAGATGTAGGTCACATGACTCACTGTATAATATTATTGTATCGTTACTCTAAAATATCATTTCGCTTAGTAATATACTTTTAGTTTACTATTCTATCGATCTACTTAACACCTTAGGCTTATTATTATCATTTAATTTCTTTCCGTTCTCGGTGCAACATAGGGCTTCAAGCTAGAAGCTTTAATTTTCGGTAACAGTGGTGTTTATTTTTACAGGATGGGGTTGCTAGCCTCATGCCCAACCTTCCCTCTTCACTGGCTTAGTGAGGTAAAGGAGTACGTTGGTGGCCGGGGATCGAACCCCTATCCGCCTGCGTGGTTGGCGAGCATTCTACCGCTGTGCTAACGACTTCAGCAGTATGCACTCACCGCAGTTCGAACCCATGACTCTCTGGTTACAAGGCGAGCTAGCCCGTAGACTATTAAGCCACTGGAACCCTTAGGCTTATAAGCAGTCATTAAAATTCTTGTGATCTGTGTCCAGTTTCTCTTGCTACTTGAGAACTCAGTGTCTCTCAAACGTTTAGGATATTACTTACGCTCTCCTTCTGGGATTATTTGTTCCGGAACTACATTATTCATCTTCTTTCGTCCCGATACATATAAAGTCTTTGACTGTTGCATAATTTTATACTTGCAAATTAATACATATTTATAAATTTACAGATGAGAGAAGAGGTTGCTTGGCAGGCACTTGACTGATTTCAAATTTGATCACTGTTCGATCTCTAGTTGGGTTGTGAGCACATACTGTGAATAGTCCCAAACAAAGACTAAACAGTTAGTTGTCCAGTACTGCCTGGTTCTCAGTGGTTCACCAAATAAAGTCAGTTCGTTATTTAACTTGGACCCTGTATTAGATCCTTTCTTTCTAATGAATCACTGAACTGATGAGAAGGACCTATTTTATGTCACGTAAGATTTTCAAGGCTGTAAGCAGAGTTACCAGTGTGGGCGAATGTTTATCTGTGTAAGCTTTAACTTCTTCAGCAGAATTATTCAGATTTTAATAAATATTAAGATTTATGGTGAAATGGTCAGAGGGGATACTTATGGTGTATAAACGCTACTGGGATAAGCTGAAATCTAGTAGCTGAAGCAATAAACTACACTTCCATTAACGTTTCTTCTTAAAAATCCTGGGCATTGTTGTTAAAATAGGTTTCTAATCAGAGAAGTATTTTGATAGAGTATTTGTGGCTTTGTTTTATTAGTCCAGAAAATCAATAATCCTACACAGGATAAAATACTAACTCTTGACCCAATCACTGAACACACATAACTTTATGTGTACTACATCATGAACTGACAAAAATTAAATATCATGAGCCATTGGATCCCATCTAAAGCATTTAGAATAAAACATTCTCCCCCATAAGGCATGACTGTCTTCGACTAAATCTCTGACGTCTTCTTTTAGATATGTGTTGCGAAAGAGTTTTGGATTAGAATGGAACAATTATTCAGCATTTCCTAATATTCAATGTTAATTTTTTCAGGTTTGTTCATGAGTTGACATCAGTTAGAGGGAGAACCATTGGAAAACCAGCACTGGAGTTCTCTAACTGATATCAATTTGTGTTCAAACCTGTAGCCAATTAAATCAGCTTCTGTTTGACTCACTGAGAACGGATTTATTTATTTATTATTTTGATTACAGCTTGATTTCACACCGTATTTTTAGTACAAGTATGGAATTTTCAGCATGGATATCGGTAGCCCAAATTTCAGGCCGACCATAGATATCGGGTGTGCGCCGGCAGGGGATCGAACCCCGGACCATGTGCATGGTCGGCGAGAGTCCTAACCACTGTGCCACCGACGCACGGATATTCACTGACACCTATGAAGTGTCATATACGCCTAAAACAAATGTGATTTTATGCAGAATAAATTAAATCTTGTCAGCTCCACAACCTTTTTTAAAATTATTTATTTATTTATTTGACAGACCATTGTTTATTAGAAGTATTGACCTATTATATTTACTACCAGTAGAAGTATGGCTACAAAGTTCACTAGCATATATATGCATATTTATGTGTATATATAGACTCATACGTACACACAAGCATTTTGGTTATATAACAGACTTAACTAGCAAAATAGCAGGATGATGAATATCTGCCTATATGCCAAATAAATAAAATGACAGTAATTCGAATTCAGGATGCTCATTTCATCTTAATTCACACTCGTCACCTGGATGTACCTGAATTCCCTGGCGAGTGATGGTGTTCCTATTGAGGCTGGAACCTAGTACCCTTCGTTTCAAATGCCATGGAGTCATCCACTAGACCACTCGGGCTATGAGAGTCTGAGGTCGATAGCAGGACTTCACCTGAGGTAGCCTGGCACAACATACAGTTAGCTGTAGACACAGCTGTAAAAGCTGTTAATAACCTAAAACCTAAAGTTAGTAAGAGCCATCGGATTTCTACCGCCTCATCCGAACTGATTGACGCAAGAAGACTGATCCCACGAGCTCCGACTATGACGAGGAGCGAAAGCTACTCAAACGCAAACTAACAAGAAGTCTTCTCAACGACCGTGAACAGTGGTGGGCGACAAAAGTGAAAGAGATGGAAAAGACATCGGCGATTGGCAACACCAGACAACTATTTAGGCTTATCTGGGAAACAGGTAGTGAAGGGGAAATGATAAGTGAAATAATTTTTGAGAAAAATGGTACCATAATTAGCTCTCAGGATAGACGACTGGAACGCTGGAAAGAACACTATGAGGAGCAGTTTAATTGGCCTACAGCCACGCTCAGCCTGCCGAACATCCAACGCCTCCCTAAATTAAATATAAACACAGGTCCTCCGTCCCTAACTGAGGTTACTAAGACGGCTACTAGTCTGAAACGAGGAGAAGCAGCAGGACCTGATGGAATGACTCCGGAAGTATTTAAGTAGGGTAGAGACAGTTTGCTGTCTACATTAACCGAGGTACTAGGCAGCGTCTGGGGATCGGAGGAAGCACCATCGGGTTCGTGTAAGTCACTGATTATCCATCCCCATATACAAGAAGGGAGACAAGTCTTCCTGTGATAATCACAGGTGTATTTGCTTATTTAATATGGTGGCATCTTAAGTCCTAGGCTCAATAATCATGCGTAGACTAAGTGGTGCTCGGGAGGCACAAACACGAGAGAACCATGCAGGCTTTAGACCAGGAAGAGGGTGTATTGGTCATATCTTCACCCTTTGACCGATTCTAGAACACAGGCATACTCACCACCGGCGTCCAACCGTCATTATATTTCATGATCTAAAGGCGGCATTCAATTCTGTCGACCGAGAGGTACTCTGGCGAAGTTAGGTTGTGAAGGGAATGCCGAGAAATACATTTTACTGATCAAGGCAATCTACTCGAATTCATGTAGCCAGGTGAGAGCTTATGGCGAGTTGTCATCTGAAGTGGTGACGACTAGTGGTGTCCGACAGGGATGCCCATTATCCCCATTTCTATTTAATTTCATCATAGATGTACTAGTGGACTTAATCCTAACCGCTGACTTCAGAGACTCAGGGATTGAATGGCTTGTTACCAGGGAATAATCTCGACTTAGAATGTGCAGATGATATAGTCCTTCTAGGCGAGGGCGCTGACAAAATGCAGAGTCTTCTGTACACCTTGAGCTGCAATCTACGAATGTTTGACATGTGATTCGCTCCCACCAAATCTAAGATGATGCTATAGGAATGGACTGAACTACGTTGACTCATAGTTTAGAAATAGGGAGTGAAGTGGTAGAGCACGTTGATCGCTTCACTTATTTAGGAAGTACCATCAGCCCCAACGGGTTGATCTCTGACGAAATCTCAGCACGAATACAGAGGGCTAGTTTCGCATTTGCCAGTTTACGCCGTCTCTGGCGTAGACGTGATATTCGGCTAGCCATCGATCAAAGGACGTGTGTACTGCTCAGCAGTCCGCTCCGTCCTTCTTTATGGCTGTGAGACCTGGCCATTGAGAGCGGAAGACATGAAAAGACTATCTGTCTTTGATCATAGGTGCCTGCGTTGTATCTCCCATGTGAAGTGGTATATTACGATGAGCAATACTGAGATTAGGCGTCGGTCGAGTATTAGGTGAGTTGGTAGGGAAATCAATCGACGAGGCTGTGAAGCTACATCGACTGAGGTGGTCAGGACATGTGTTACGTATGCCTAGCCTTCCTCGACGGGCAATGTTAGCTGATATAGGGTCAGGCTAGAGAAGAGCTAGCGGCGATCCAAACAAAACATGGCATCACTCAATGAAATCCACAGCAGTTAGTTGAAGCCAGCCACGTAGACTTCCTGGTTTGAGTCCCCATAACGGTAAAAACCAATGGAGGCTGGAGACAATTGGTGATATGGCTCAAAATCGTTCTCATTGGCGCAGATGCATCCACTCCTTGTGACTTATGATTTCCAATGAAACTATATTGTTCTTTATTATTACTATTCCTTTGTCTCTCACCTCTGTTTACTGTCTATATTATGTATTTCTTCTACTTTCTTCTCTTGCTTTGTGTGCTACATGGAGTGTGGCGACTTGAACTGCCACACATCGGTGCAAAGTTCTATGTCGAATACAGACAGACAGACAGACGGACATGAGAGTCACCTCTTATGCAACACGTGTCAGTTATTATTCATTTTCAATTCAGTTTTGGTTTTCCCTTTGATTGAATAACCCGAAGTGTTCGGCCTCAGGTACGTACAGGTGACAAGTTCGAAATAGGACGAAATTTTCATCCTGGATACCACTGCTAGTCACCGTTTATCACATTACTTCAAAGAAAATGATTATTTTAAGGCTGATTTCCTCACGTATCGACAGGTTAAGGACTTCAGATGGCTGTATTTGTCTGACTATGCCTGTCCATGATTTGTTGCCTATGTGTAGTGAAATCACGGAGTAAAAGACTATCAGACTTAGAATGAATGGAATTCAGCTATCAGAGTTATGAAGTCGCCTGAGCCAGAATAATAGGAGGTATTTTTTCTCCTAGTTAAACCACACGTGCATCCTAGATTTAATTGCAAGCCACTATCAATCGAGTAACTTCAGAAATTAACTTATGAAAATTAATCTGATTTTCGCTGCCAGTGACAGTCTACAGGATGAAATTGCTTGGAGTTCCACTGAGAAGTTGTGACCGGCGGGGTTCATCCGATCGATTGTGAGGACAAATGCTCACCGATGTCATTGACTTGTGATATTCGCGTTAAATATGTCACGAAATGGCAGAAGTTAGAATTCATGGGCTGGCGATTGGGTTGGTTCCCAGTGACCGAATGGTCTACTAGCTCACCTTGTGACTAGACGATCCTGGATTTGTACTGCCGATGAGTCCCGAACTAGGACGAAGCAACAGGCTGTCCAGTACTCCAATGATGGTTTTCCCAAGGTTCTCTAACTGTTATCGATCAGTGTTCAAACTTGAAACAAATCAAATCCCTACAAACTAACTCATGAAAATTCCAGATTACCCATGGTTTAAATCTTCGCTCACGATTTCTATGGGATATTGATTCCACAGTGTTCAATCTCTGAGGAATAAGCAAATGTCATAATCTGTGATTATTTGCCATTCTTTTTATTTCAGAATTCTAAGCGGACCGGAGCCAACTCACTTGATGCTGAATATCGTTTTCAGTATTCAACTTTAATAGAAGCCTCAGATTTACATCGTGATTGTTATCAATCCTCCTACTGTCCAATGCCAATTAATGAAAAGTGTGTGTCAATACAGAATTTACAATATGTTTATTACATTGATAAGTAAGTATAATACATGGTTGAATATGGTTTTATTTATTTCGCTTTGAATATAGTCTACGTTGAAAACAAACAATTCACTACTGGCGTGATTAAATACTCCTGTGTCAACCAACTAGTCCCAAAATTAATTTTAAGTTTCCTATCAGGAACCCTAAAATATCAGACCAATGAGACATAATGCAAATATGACTGTGGCAGTTTCGAATCCTGCTTAGCCATCATGGCCCCACCATCTACATCATCTTTGCTAACCGGGTAGTTAGTATCCATCGTCAGATATCACACAATGAGTGTAACATTGTGATCTTGTACGCGAGAAATCTTCTCTAAGTAATCTAGTTCCCAGTGATTATTATTCTGAGAAGGTACATATTCACTCAGACTGTTTCTTATTGCTAGTGTAATAAAGAATATATTTTTTTTGTAGCCTCTTTTCAATGCTATACAGTTATATAGCGCTGTAAAATGCCATGGAAATGCCTATATATTATTATAAAAATTATTGTTCCCTTGGGTTCCAAGTGGAACAAAAGGCTTCAGTAGCACATCTTCAGCTCGTCCTACTCTCTGCAGTTCCCTTTTGCTGACCTTACGGTTGTTCATCCTATTCTGACAATCTCCCCCATGTCAACTGCTGACTAAAACCAAATTATTCGTTCACCACTCAGTGATTTGCCTGTCGTGGAATGTCATTCGACGGTCTCCTCGTCGTGTGTCTGATCCATCTCCACTTTCTCCTGCTTATTTGTTGAACAATGAGATCTTGGTTGGTTCGTTCCCAGAATTTGTTGTTGCTAATTGTTTCCAGTCAACCATTTTATCTTCAGTTTGGAGTCAGAGAAGACTGGTGTTGACAAAAGTCTGCAGCAGCCTTTTGGAAATACCTCTCGTGACACACTGGAAGTGTTTCTGATCCATATAAGAGAAATGACTGACTGACTTAACATTGGTGTTGAAAATCTGAAAGTTTTTGTTTATGCCTTGGACGAGTACAGAAGATTTTTATAAAGATTTCAAAGTGATGAAGGTCTGTCTTCTCCTTCTGATCCTGGCTGGTTTCGACATCCTCATCTGTGCTGTCATGTGTAGTTGAAACGATGCTGCCTGGCCAGATAAGTGAAGAAAATGACCTGATTCAAATTCCTCCAGTTGACAGTTACTGGAGCCGGTTGTTTTTATGTTGTTGGTTGGTTTTCTTCATCATATCCATCATTTGCTTATTCAATTGAAGTCCTAACATCGCTGACTGCTTCTTCCTCCAGCTGGAAGGTTTCCGCCTCTAAGTTCAATTCACTAGTTCTCTGGTTTTCCAGTTGATCCTAGACCCTGGAAAGAGAAAGAGATGGGCTTGAAGTTACCGACCCTACCCCAGGAAATCGATCCAATCTCTACAGAAACTGTAAAGCCTTTATACCAGTCAGTCATGAATGTCAGGTTACAAGAAAAACGTGTCATTAGGAATGCATTAATTGCATTAGTTAGTTATGTGTCTTACACTTACAACGGTCTCAATTATGCATGACTCATTTTTGCAAGATCAGACTATTTATCATTTGTCCATTAATGAAAATATATTTCAGATGTAATAGTAAAATAGTGGTGGCTGACTAAGCCCTGGTTACAATTTTTACGTAAATATGTGATGAATATTCACCTTGCTCTCGCTTTTGTTTTTTCTTTTTTAAATACGATTTTGACTGATATTACATTTGTCTTTTCGATTAGGTGAAGATATGCTTAAGTGCATTATCGATTAATTGTTTGATGATGACATGTTGGTAGTTTATTACTTTCAGTCGGTAGAGTATGGAGAGTTAAACAGTTCCGTATTACGTAATATAGCGCACTGATCTGAAAATAGGATCAGTCTGTCTCACTGGCATGAGTCATATTCAACCCTTCCATTTTGGTATGGATGATTACGTAATGACTAGGTAACCTGAATTTATTGAACTGGTAGCTTAACGTAAATTAATGCATTTTTTTGTAGTATGTCGCGAAATGTTAACCATTCGTGACTTGACCTCTGTCCTTTAATGCATACATGTATTTTAGAAGTAATAGTAATATTGACTGACTCATCCCTGATTACAGCTCAAAAGGAAAAGAAGACTATGTGATGAATATTCAATTTGTCTTTGTTTTTGACATGATTTTGCATGAAATGAAGTCAAGATATGTCCGAGTATAACTCTGACTGACCGAAAATATATTAGGAGTTTATTAGGATTAGTCATTGGTGTATGATGAGTAATTCTGTAGGACAAAACATTTTGATCCGAAATACTACTGATAATGTCATATGAGTAATTAAAGCGCATTTGCTTCAAAAAATAATGCTTTCTACCTACATCGAAATGATCTCAACACTGGGCTGTGGTTTTGCTCGCTTTAGGTCCAGTTCATCCGCTCAGAGAGCTGAATCACACCAAACGATGCTAATTCCGGCTAGCTACTTCAACTAATTGGGAATACAAAGAATGTAATTCGTCATTTGCAAACTACGATGTGTTGCTTTGCAAGTATTTGATTCGTTACATGATTAATCACGTGTTGACATCCGATTACTAGGGAAGGTCGTAGACCATTCAGTCACTGACTCCCTACCCAATGGTCTTAAATTTCGACTTCTACGAATTATATACATATATATGGCGCTACTGCCAGTTGATGTTGCAGGCGAGTAGCTGTCCTCTTGCTTGAATTGTGTCTGATTTCTGTGGCTGAACGGTCTACGAGCTCGCCTCGTAACCAGAAGGTTCTGGGCTCGAATCGCAGTGTGTGCGTACTGATGAAGATTCCTAAACCAGAACGAAACAAATGTTCAGTCCTCCCAGGTTTTTCAATGGTTGTCTAAATGATTCGGAAATTAATCAATTCGAGGTGAGAAATCACTACGGTCTCCAAGATATTCAGGCCTCAAGGGATGATTTGCCACATAGCATAAGTGGTAATCAAGAAAGCAAACGAAAAGCATGACGGTTCACAAAGCCGATTGTTATGCGTAGCTGGAAACCATGTACGTCGAACAGTAATGCCTGTTAATCAGATGCAAGTTACTGAAATTGATTTGGAATTCGAAGCTGAGTGTCAGTTGGAAGAAGCACTGATGAATTCAGGCTCAAATGAGCGAAATGTCTGCCTAGTGTTTATGCCATTTCAATTTGACTAGTAAGCACTGCTTATTGGAAAGAGTAGTTTCTAACTACTCAAATCAATGAATCAGTAGTATATAGAGTAGTGATTCATAGTATCGTGCTGTTTCGCTTGTTTTCTTGCTTTCTGTCCATCGTACTAAGTAGATCAAAGATTGAGTTCTGAGTATTTTTGGTTTTTAAGATGGTTTTTTCACCTCGAACTGTGTGATTTGCAAATGAAGAAATTAAATCGAAAACTGTAGTCTAGCCACTAAGTGATTCAAAAGTTCAGCAAAATATTCTTGCTAAAATTCGTAGTTGTTTGACCTCAGGTGGTCATGTACAAAGCATGTAACAACGAAAGCCCAGGTCTTGACCGACGTAAAATTTAGTAAAACTAATGATTTTCAGGAGGAGGTTGTTAATTGAAATCTTTCTTCCTAATTGGCTTCTTGACACAGATTCAATTTACTGAAGGCAGTTTCTGCGTTCATCAAGCACTCTTGTGAGACCTTCAGTGATGTCTTCAAGCATTATGGCTTATCAGTCTGAGAATCCCTGTGCTTTCATATTCTGCTTTCCGGCCTCGGTGATTTTCGGTAAAATGTTTGTACTTAACCGGACATCAGCAATAGTGGTACATACATTTAGGTCAACAACAGAAATGGAGTTATGGTAGGTATAGTTGAAGATAAACGTAACTCTGAGCTAGATAATTCTACTATCAATTTTTAGTTCTCGTTCTAGACACAAACACAACAACAGAAATTTTAGGAAGAAGTGAACCGCTGTAGGATTTCTCAGATTATGAAGCAAACACAAATAAGTAAATATACACATCTGATCATATTTTTGATTGGACACTAGTCAGTAACTAGTGTAATGTTTCTAGTCCTTTGTGTGGTGCAGACTGAATTCTATCAGTCAGTCAAGTTTACAATGTAGCCACCAATAGACTATGTGGTTTGCCATAACGGTGCACTGTGATTTGTTGTTAATAAGTGATTGGAGGCAATCGACAGGAAGCCTTCGACCTGGGTGTCGTGCTAGTTTGCACTCACTAGTGAGCAAGGCGTATCTGCAATCACCTTGAAGGAACTCATGTCCGTTCTGAGATTTAGACTGCAGCGCTGAATGATGAGTGTTCGAGTGTCAGAAGTGACATGAGTTGCTTCAAGTCGTTTTTATTTACGCCTGGCTGATGTGTGCAAAGTAGCACTAATCCCAGTTCCAGTGCTTCCTTCTGATTGCCTCCTTCCATCTAATACATCTGATGATAGACAGAATTAAAAAGCTGGTTACAGCGAAGAAAGGCTTTCTTTTCTATAGTGTCATGAACTAGATATCTGTACATCGCTATATGTATATATATATATATATATATAAAGCCGTACGAAAGTTTTTGAGCTATTCCCAGTCATGGGTCAAATTAGAACGAATAATGAGATGACAAATAGAGATTAAAAATGTAATAATAACAAAATAAACAGGAAGTTCGTATTAAAGAACCTAGTAGGATAATAATTATGGAGAAAGTTGATTGTTTATAATGGCCATGGTAAGGGAAAAGATTGGACGTACTTCTCTTGCATACTCGTACAGGTGGCTTTAATTTATGGTTACCTAATGCTTCAGCTATGTCTAGATGTCTTGATCTCAATCCATTTAAGAGGTTTGATCAGATCTTGTATAGGATTTTGAAAGACTTTTCAAGTAGAGTTAAGTGTCTTGAGTTCATCAGATGTTCTTTTATCGAACTATAGACATATCTACCTTCTCCTTTCGCTAACCAGGCTGGATTGTGTTAAACATCTGAAAACTGACATCCTTAAATGGAGTGGGTAGAAAGAATACAATCTACTATAAGCAAATTTGCAATTCCGCGGGAAACTTCTCCGCGTTTTCCTCCAATAACCGAGAATATTCAGATGACAATAAACGACCCATTCGACATATTCAAATAATGATCAAGCAAATAAGCGAAATAGCATGATAGTATAACTTACTGATTTATATGAGTAGTGTCTTCCATATAAAATCTATCAGTCAGCAGTATTATGCTGAGTACTACTTATAATTAGATATAAGTAGTATATCAGTAAGCGAATTCAGAAAAGTAACAGTATGTTTTGGGGTACTGGAAAAAGCAGTCGAATATGCGATCTGTGAAAATAACATCACAATACTGTGCAGAATCCGACAAGCTGCCGAATGTGGTGATATTCGACCAATTCTCAAATGATGTGCAAGTGTGCCTACAATGAGTTTGTCCTCATAAACGTAGCCTTCGAGCCTCATTGGTCTTTTCTTCTTTACAGTATGTATGATAATTTGCCAGATTAGTCAGAAGTACAGCAGTTTACACCAGTTTATAACTTTCTTTTCTGACATTTTGGTGGACCCATTGCATTACTGTGCATCGTTGAGGTACATGAAAAAATCCCATTGGAGTAAATTTCTGTGAAACTATATACTACTGAATGATTGAGGTGAGTAGTTTTATACCATTCACACCATCAACCAGTAGTGCTTGTTAGTAAGCTGGATCGAAGTGACCTAAACACCGGGCTGCCGTTTCACTAGTTTGGAGGCAAGCTCATCAGCACTGTATCGAGTTTGACTCAGCTGAAAGGAGAGCCGAATCAGTTCAAACCACCCGATTTCTGGTGAACTGGTGATACAATAAATCAAATTCACTTTGCCAAACATCGGGTGGTCTCAGATGACTCGGCTCTCCTTTGAGCTGAGTTAAATTGAGTGGTGATGATGAGCTCGGCTGTGAATGAGTGAAACAGTCTCCAAATGTTCAGATTTGTCTAACAAGCACTACTAGTTGATGGTGTGAGTGGTATCAAACTACTCATCTCAATCATTCAGTAGTATGCAGTTTTATGCAAATATGCTTGCTTTCTTGATTACCATTTATAAAGCAGACCATATATTGGTAGAAGTAGAACTTTTCCGTGTTTTCACTGTTCTTTATAGATATTATAGCAGTTAATCTTCCATTCATCTTGAAATTTAGTCGTATAGTTTTAGAAATATAAGTATTTAACTACAATCAGAGCAAGTGAGATCCACTTTCAAATTGATGTAAGGCGGCTGTAGACTCTTTCTTGACTATCATCAAATAACACAAATCCAAAGTGCATCAAGATGGCTAGTCAGCTGGCCTGCTGATGACTTTCACTAGATGACTGACTGACTATTTTCAACATAGAACTTTGCACCGATGTGCAGCGATTCGAGTTGCCACACTTCACTCAGCACATAAAGCCAGAGAAGAAAGTAGAAGAAATGCATAATAGAGACAGAAAGTTGAGGTGTGAGACAAAGGATTAGTAACGAAGAAAAATATAGTTTTCTTGGAAATTTTAAGTCACAAGGGGTGGATGCATCTGCACCATTGAGAACGACTTCCACTAAGCACCAGCATTAGGAAGTAGATGTATAACACTGGTTACACTCTAGTGATCAATCGAGTTCTAGTTTTTATTAACAAAACTATTTTTATTTTTCTGAATTAACAATTGTATATGTCTTTTAACTTTTGAAAACAGGATAAATCAAAATATACAAAGAACATGGAGTTCACTATATGATTGTTATTGGTTGGTATTGACATCCACATTATCCGAATTGAATGCTTATTTACCAAGTATCAACAGTGAATGGATCGAAAAGGATGCTGTAAGTGTATGATTTTTTCTGATTTTTTTGAGAAATTTTATTTCCCAGGGTACCTTATCATGATTACTAATTGCATTTGAACAGACATATGATCTGTTTTTGTATTAAACAGAACAAAGTTAGGAGATGAAAATCAACAAGTTGACAGAAGAAACTGGCGACTAAGACACGATTCCAAGTATAAATAGGGAAGACGGAGATGATGAAGATAACTAACTAACCAACAGCAACAACAACAGCCAACCGAATAAATTTGGAAGAAGCCACACCCTTTATTTCAACTTTGAGAGACGCAGATGAGGATGTCAAAACTAGTCTGAATCAAAAAGGAAAGGTAAACTTTCATCAATCTGAAGTCATTTTGGAAATCTGCTGCACTCCAGAGCATAAAGAACAAGATTTCCAACACCACTGTTTAGTCAGTCCTTCTATATGGGTCGCTGGCTCCATATTGAATATCAGATGGCCGGCAAGAAAGGAGTGGTAGCAATAAACCCTGAGAACGAACCAATCGAGAACATATTGCTCAAGAAATATTCCGAAGAAAATGGAGATGGGTCGGACACACACTGTGAAGATCTTCGGGTGATATTGCTCTCCAGGCCATCAATCGAGTGCCTGTTGAATGGGAGACGACTAGTTGGGCGTATATTCAATGGGAGACATGAAGGAGGGAGATCGCGTAAGGAGGAGACGGGAACATGTGGACAGTCATGGGGCTAGTCGAAGTAGACTGCAAAAACAGGACAAAATGGGGATTTGCTAGTGACTTCCTATGTTCCACTCAGAAAGCAAGGGGATAATAATAATAGAAGGATATATCAAGCAAAAGTATGATACGAATTAGCACTGCTTAATGCTACGACAATGTATGGTTGTGGATCTATTGCTGAGGAAGTATATGTTTCTAGTTGTGATACTCATGCAGCCGTGTGGGAGTTGGTAGAGTTTACGAAGTGACGAGAAGCAGTTCTGTTTACCAGGGATCCCAAATATCATTTCACTTTAGCTGATATTAGTGTCTGAAGAAAACTAAATAGAGTTGAGGTCAAGAAATATTTGACTTTATCATGTCATATTAACTTGCGCTTCACATTCATCTAAAACAGCTTTATTCTCGACTAGCTGTTTATACAATATGCAGAATTCTCAACGAAGATCTTTGCAAAATATTTTCTCCTAATCCAAAATAGAAATCTATGGTATTTCATGTGATACATTGAGATTTCATTTGAAGCTTAAACTAATCTCTCATGATGTTTTTGCTTCATCACCAAGAAATACACACCATTAGTTTAAAAGACAATCAGAAATGTTCTTGAATACTTCGTGTAACTCACAAAGATGAATGAATGATAAGAATAATGAGAATTAAAGAGAAAATGATGCACATGGTTTAGATGAAGATTCAGGTAGTCCACCAGATTATACAGACGTCGACTTAACCCGTTCGTTGTGTTTCGTGTCACACTAACAGTGACTTGTCGAGCAAGTTTAAGTCATGACACTACTAACTTACTGCAAAACATTAAGGAAACATATATATATATATAAGGGAATATACACATTGCAACACTGGAATTATTAGAAAGACGGTTAAAGCGAAGAAAATTTACTTTTCGACAAAGTCATCAACTAGACTGTACATTCGTGTATTTATAGTAAATAGGTGAGAAATTTCCAGAACTATTTCCGGTCAAAGGTCAAATCAGTAAAATTGCAAAGTATAATAAAGATATAATATGATCATAATTACTGAAAAACTTGACCGTTTGTGTAAATTATGGATTCAGGACCTAGTAATAAGAAAATGGGCAGGAAGTTCGGATGAAAAACATAGTAGCGCAAATAGGACTTAAAAACCGTCAAAATAACAGGAATAAACGGGAAGATTGGATAAGAGAGGTAGTAGAATAATCAGTATTAGTGGGACTGGCTTTTCATGATGACTACGGTAGGGACGACAGTTGGACGTATTTCTTTTGAATACAAAGCGTGGGCTTGAGTTCTTGGATCTCCAGTGTCTCAGCTATTCCTAGATGCCTTAATTCCACTCCCTTTTGATAGGTTTGATTGGATCTTGTATATAACTTTGAAAGACTTTTCAAATGGAGCTGAATGCTGTACTCTTAGATGCCTTCGTCGAAAAGAAATTTTTTTCGCTATAACCGTCTTTTTCATGTATATATATATATATATATATGTATATATATATGATATAAGGAGTAAATTAGGTGCAATATTGTATTGCATGCTGAAAATTCCACATTATATGGAACATACTGTTTGGAGTAAGGATATTATTATTGTTATTAATAAACGGTTGGTGTGGAGTGGACTTGTACAAATAGTGTGTGCAATATAAAGCCCAGACATAATTAAATATATCGCATTCTTATAAATCTAAGAGATATTGTAAACGAACTTTCTAAAGATATTGAGATAAATAATTCCAACGTTACATTCGGTGAAACTGTTGTGAAATCCTTCAGAGAAATATGCAAATGGACGGTGATATATTGTATTTAGGCTAAATGTCCAACCATGTTTGAGTTGTAAATATTTATGGTCTTTCAATGTTTTGAACAGCACATTCAGGCGAACACTGGTATTGTGGTTTTAATTAAATCTCATCAGGATTAACTCTAATGTACCTAAGTAACTTTACAAATAAATATTTAGATATATAAACCAATCACGATTACTTATCAATAGGATGATGAGATCGTGCATATCAATTGTGCAACTAGTCATAGTGATCATAATGATTGTATCAGTAAAAAAAGATGAAAAAGTGAGGCGATCTGTGATAACAAGAGTAATGAAAAAACGTACGATCACGTTGGAAAAGAGCTAGTGGTAGTCGAACCAAAATATGGCTTCATCAGTCAATGAAATCCATAACAGTTAGTTTGAGCCAGTCACGTGGAGAGGTGTCGACTTTAGGATCTTTGGGACCATAAGGGCCAATGGCTAGAGACAATTGGTGATATAGCTGAAAATTGTTCTGCATAGGGATGGGGAGGTGCATTCACTCCTTATGATTTGTCATATCTACCCAATAAAACACTGTTGTTCTTCCATAATTTATTCAGAACAAACATAGTTATAGCGAACAATTGTCGTTTTCAATAAATTCTTCTTCAGGCTCTACAACTATAAATCCATTAATTTAAGCAAACAATAGCTAGTCACTAAAGGCAAATTAGAATCATATCAGAATTGTGTATTGTGGAACAAGTATAAGATGAGATGGAACAATAGTCATTTCGTTTTTGAATATGTATGGTCAATGAGAACATGAGATAAACTGAGATGAAATAATTTAGTGATGTGTAAAGTAAAAATCCCCATAGTGTAATCAGAACAAGATAATTTTGAGCGAACAATTGTTTTTGATAAGTTCTTCTTCTGGCTCTACACAGTTATAAATCCATGAATATTATATTCGTGGGAAAATATATTTTCTATAGTTTGGTTTATTAGGGTTGGTTATGTTTTTACGAGTTGACCACGGACTGGTATCAGTTAGAGAACCACTGAAAACCAGGGAGTATTGGACAGCTGTTTCATCCTAGTTTGGGAATCATCGGTGGTGGTATTTGTATAAAATGATTGATTTTATACCAGGAGTTGTAAATCGCTCACGTCAACCAGTAATGCTTGGCGTAGCCGTAGTGATGAAGCGTTTTAAACACTGGACATCCGTTTCACTCATTTCTGACCGAACTCATCAGCAGTAGGGATATTCGGTTTGTCTCAACTGGAAGAGCTGAGTCATCAGGTGAAAATCCACCCTAGTCGCCTTTTGACAAACACTAACCAGGAGTGAATTCCAATTACCAGTGTCATTTTTTTATTTGATTCTATTTTCGATTACAGCTTGATTCCACACCGTATTTTTGGTGCAGGTATGAAATTTTCAGCATGTGATATCGGTAGCCCAAATTTTGCAGGCCGACCATAGATATCAGGTGTGCGTTGGCAGGCGATCGAGCCCCGGACCATGTGCATGGTCGGTGAGAGTCCTAACCACTGTGCCACCGACGCACAGATCGCATATGGAGTGATGTGAGTACTTTTTATTTTCAAAAGCAACTGTAGTGAATGTTCTCCTCCTCAAACTCTGTGTGTGTGTAATTTGCCACTGGCGAATCAGTTTCTTTTTAGCCCTACTTAATTTTGTTTTGTTTCTATGGATTGCTTATAAAAAGTGTTTTGGAGGAAAAATTATCAGTAATGCTTTATATTTATGATGATGATTCAACGTTCTTCATTGAGAAGAAAAATATTCATTTCATTTGCCTTATTTGTGTTCAGTGCGTTGACTTTAACTATTTGCAACCACTTGAGCAAAGACTGCGTCATGTGTTGATGAGCAGACAGTCGCCTTGCCGTACATTTTGTTTGCTTACTTATAAAAAATACACTCGGAAATAGATATACATGCATAGTTGGAAGTATTGAGGATTGGCGCTCTGATCCTTTCCCAGATTGTTGAAGCACCCAGGTTTTTGGTAGTGTAAAAGAATACAAGCTTTGGATCCTAATAAGTTCTGATACCCTTATCAAGTCTTCGTTCAACTATTATTTAGTATATCACCTTAACATGGTAATGCGATCTGTGAAGCTTTCTCTAGAATACCTTTTGATGTACGTCTAAGGATAACCATTCTTAGATAAAATATTCTTCAGGGTCTGACGAAATCAACTTTGTTAAGTATGCCGATGATCTAACTATTTCAATGTCTGTTAACTCCCAGCTAGACTGTACTAAGATGAACAGCTTCCTATCAGGAATTAGCAGATGGTCTTCGTCTAACGGCCTTAAACTAATTCCTTCCAAATGTCAGACTGTTAATTTCAGTTTCCGATGTGAACGAAAGTTAAATGAAGCCGTTGGTTCCTATGACCCTTGAAAAATTGATGATACTGATATCGAAACCGAGTCTGAAGTTAAGTATCTTGGATTATTCAAATGTTGGTTTGTAGGGATTTGA